GGAGCGCCCCTCGTCCCGGCGGGAGGCGGCTGGGGTCCCGGGAGCGGATCCGTCCCCCTGCCCGCGATGGGAAGGGGTGCGGGGTGTGGATCCCCTGGGAGGAGGGGGATCCCGGGCCAGGCTTTGGGGTACCGGGCTCCCCGACCTCCTGCGGGTTTCCTTTTGCTCGGCGGTGCCTGCTCCCCGAGACACCCGCATCCCTCCGCGCAGGGGCGAGCCTGGGGCGGCTGCTGCTCCCGCCCGGGGGGCATAGGGGCCGCTGTGTGGGGGTTGTCACAGCCCTTTCCCTCGCGGCCCCCAGTCCCGAGAGCGGGAGCCCGCGGCGCGCCGCTGGTGCAGCAGCGAGGTGGGCTGCCGGTTAGGGGAGCTCCGGCCCGCACCCTGCAGCTGGAGGGTGAGAGGGAAGGCAGGGGCAGGCCCCGCCGGACAAAGTTGGGGTTCAGCGATCTGGAACCCAGCCAGGTAGAGGCCCAGTCTTCTCCTGGTTGAGTTTGCTGGGCTCCGTGGGCCACTCTGGGGAGTGGGGTTCCCCCAAATGTAACACGGCTCCGCCCTTTTGTTGCCAGTTTTTATTTTGTTTTAAAAATCATTTTAGCAGAAGGCAGGCAGGTGAGGAGGGGGAGGTTTTCTTCCGGGAGGTGCTTAAGACAGTCGCCATCAATAATTAATCGTCTTCCAGGCAGAGAAAGTCGTCAGCAGGAGACATCTAAGCACTTGATTCAGTACTGAATTATTGAACTGGATATTGAAGATTGAATAATCCAATATTGAATTATTGTTCTGGGTCCATATTTCTGAAAAATTGATTAGTGTGGGAATGATAGGAAGCTAGTTTTGCCTTGTCTTAAAGGGTGCTATGAAAAATGTCTCTGAAGAAGTTTCTGGTAGTTTGTCCAATTTTTAGAAATTATGCTGATTGTACTTTATATATTTATTCTAATCTGGAGCCCTTTTGATTCATGTTTTCATGAATTTTATGTTTTAAAAAACTCTTCTTGAAGCCAAGTGTGGTGGCACATGTCTGTAAATCCCAGCACTCTGGGAGGCTGAAGCTGGAGGGTCTCAAGTTCCAGCCCAGTATGGGCAACTTGGCAATTTAGACTCTGCCTCAAAATAAAAAAAAGGGCTGGGGATGTAACTCAGTGTGAAGGACCCACTTCTATCCCCACAGTACTGAAAAAAAACCAAAACCAAAACCCAGGATTATTTAAGTACAGATGTACATATTGATATTTCTACTTACATATTTACAAAAGCACACCCCATTTTTTATTACATTAAAATCAAAGCTGTGTATTGAAAATTATAAATATGCATATAAAAATTGGACATGAAATAAAATGATTATATTTAATTGTTTTATTTGAAGAATTGAGTGGGGAAACTTTCAGTATAGTGGTTTAATTACAGTTCAGTTAATATTTCTAAGGTTGAATTTAAAAGCACAACTATTTTAGTCCTTCCAACTTCACTTATATGTTTTTGGTGGTTTTTTTTTGGTACCGGGGATCGAACTCGGGACCTTGCGCTTGCGAGGCAGGCGACGGAACCACTGAGCTAAATCCTTGGGTCCTTCCAACTTCACTTAAATTTTTTCTTTGCTTCAAGGTATAAATACCCAGCAACAGTGGAAATGGAGAGATTAAATTAAGTGCCAAAAAATGGCAGCACATAACTCAGTGATATTATTAAGGTGAAAAATGTGTGTCTTCAAAAAACTTCCAATTTAATAGTGGCTTTTATAGCTTATGCTTTCATTTCCTCTTTAACCACTTTTAATTTTTTTTCTTTTGAGACAGTGTCTCGCTATGTAGTTCAGCCTAATCTTGAGTTCACTATGTGGCCCAGGCTGGCCTGGAACTCAGGGTAATCCTCCTGTCTTAGCCTGCCAAGTGCTGGGATTAGGGGCATGCACACACCACCATGCCCTGCAACCACTTCTTGAATTATATTATTCTTTTTTTGCATTAAAGCAGATGCTTTTTAGTGTACCGTTAGATTAAAGCATTATGTGAAATTTCTGGAAATTATGTTTTCTTTTAGAAACATGAGCATTCCTAGCTCACAGGGTCTAATGTTGCATGAACCTAGGCTGGTTTAATTTTTGTGCCTAAATTCCACCTTGAACTTCAAGTATTTTTGCTGTGTATTTATATATACTGTGTATTTACATACACTGTATACATGTTCAATATTTGCGGTTCATTTTATGGATAATGTGAGGGATATGTTTTTACACTTGATCTTAGCCAAAAGGCCGAGAAGTGATGGGGATATGTTTTCATATGTAAATGGAGAGATACATTCTTATATGTGTAAGAATTGATATTTACATATAGGAAACGAAGTTAGGTTAGACAACTTTTTGAAAATACAAAATGGGATCCGGAAAGCCTTCTTTGAGTATATCAGTGACTATATAGGTAGATAGTGTTTTTAACATTTTTAGCATTGTATCTAGCAGTATAACAGAAACTGTAGAACTAACAGCAATGTATTTATTTATTTTGTTGCTGAGGATTGAACCCAGGGCCTCATGCATGCTAATCTCATTTTTTACTGCTGAGCTACATCTCCAGACATCTTAACTGGTAACTTAATGCTTGAAGAACTATAACGGATTTTAGAACTCATAGGCTTTATGTGTTCATAGCTAAGAAAATGAAGGCAAGGTGAAGTCAGAGGAGAATGATCCATTCCACTGATACCAAGGTTTCTCAGGTAGTGGAGATGGCAGAGTTTTTCCATAGGAGATTAATAAGCCATGAAGAATACTCTGAAAGATGTTTGTGTGACTCACAAATATGAAAAAGGAATTACAAACTCTCAGAGCTTTTCTTTCTTTCTTTTTTTTTTTTTTTTTTTGATACCGGGGATTGAACTCAGGACCTTGTGCTTGGAAGGGAGGCACAGTGCCACTGAGCTAAATCCCCAGCCCTCAGAGCTTTTCTTCAAGATTAAGATTATGTATGTGGAAATTGTAGTTGATAGTTTGATAGTACCACTTTTCTGCTTTCAGATTCTGTACCCATAGGTGTGTCCTGTTTATTTTTGGTTCTACCACTTTGTGCGTATGTGTGTGTTGTAAACATAGCGGATGAGGGAAGCAGATGAATCATCATGGAATCTATATATTATTGATTACTTAACACAAAATGTTTTTCCTTATTTAACTGAAAACTTCTAGTCACTGTCAATCTTTCATGTTACTACGAATTATTTCTCATGTACACTTTGATTCTTAATGTTTGTTTAACCATGTTATTAGACTTGCTTGAGAGCACAAAAGATTTTTTTAGTAGAAGGCACCAGTGCTTTTGTCTAATCCAGATTTCTGTATTCAGCAGTGATCAGTGTATCTGATATTTATGTTTTGAGTTTTACCAAAAAGTAATGAATGCTGCCTCGAAAGTGCAAGGTCCTGAGTTCGATCCCCGGTACCAAAAAAAAAAAAGAAGCAGCTGGGGATTTAGCTCAGTGGTTCCGCTGCCTGCCCCAAAAGGGAATGAATGAGTTGGTTTTTTTTTCAAGGTATGCTAGGCATCAGAATTCAGGAATTGCTAACAAGACACAGTAAATGGAAAGGGACATAACGAAAGCTGTATGTTTTCCCTCAGTGAATTTTACAGTCGGGTAATGTGTTTATTGGTTATTTATGTGGCTTCTCAGTTTTAAACGTTGTGTAGGACTAATGGATAGTATTCAGTGCATATTTCTGCCAGGACTGGTGCTTGGCGGGGGTTATTTGGTTTAGTTTTCTTACCACTGCTGTAGCACTGTCTTTCTGTGCCCATTTTACACAGGAGAGTGCCGAGACTTGGTGTGGTTACCTAATGTAACGTGGAAGTGGTGATTTTATACTCAGGTGTTCTAACTTCAGAGTGTGCACTCACTCCTACTAAATTACCTAACAGCTTTGCTTTGGTCTTTTGAAAACATTAGCAGATGCTGATTCTTAATGGTGTGATTTTTGTTTTCTTTCAGATCTTTAATGCAATGGCAGCCCCTCGGGGAAGGTCAAAGAAAAGAACTGCGTTTGATCTAACTCCAGATAGCCTTCCTTTGAGGAGCTCCGGTAGACAGGTAGTATTCATTTGTTCACTCAACAAACCTTCTTTGAGTACACAGAAATATTACAATCGGGACCAAAGAATAAGAGCTGGAAAGATGTCAATGCCAGGCTCAAATCGATTGCACCTGGTGAAGAAATTCACACTATTTCATAACACTGCATGATAGAGCAATAGCCTGGAGAAAACAGTTGCCGGTCTGGCCAAGAGGACTTCTGTGAGGGTATAGGCCTAGTGTGGATGAGCACAGGGTGACCCCGGAATTGTGGCGTGCGGTTGCTTCCCGAGTAGGAGGCTGGGTCAGATCCTGCTGGGCTTGGATGTCATTCAGAGCGACTTGGACCTCAGTGCAGAGTTGCTGGGTCCGGTTAGCGGTTTAGCTGTAGGGCTTTGGTCTTTCTTTTCCGTAGGTACAGCGTTTGTGTACTTAAGAGAAAAATTGAATGAAAATTCTTTTTCTAGTTTTTAAAATTTATAATACTGAAAGGATTCTAAGGAAAGAAAGAATTCTTAATATGAGAGTAACTTTTGTTTATTCCGATGTCCCTCTTTCCTAAGAAAGGCTGGTATGGATTTGCTTTGTTAGATTCCTTTGGTTAAAGAGCGGTTTCTCCATCTCTTACAAGGTAGTGGATTATTTGCACAGTGCAGTTGTGAGGAACTTGCTGGGTCAGTCAGCGCCTGTTCTGCTGCCAGAATGCTGCTGCCAGAATGTTGTTGACACGCACATTTAGAGCTTCTGACACAGCCTGGTGTAATGGTGCACGCTGTAATCCGGGTACTCTGGGAGGCTGAGGCAGGAAGAGTGCAAGTTGGAACTCAGCCTGGGCGACTGAGCATGACCTTGTCTCAAACAATAAATAGCTAGCTAGAGCCTGCTAGCTGGCTAGATCGATAGGGCTGGGAATGTAGCTTAATGAAAAGGCCCTAGGTCGAATACCCAGCACAAAACGAGAAAACTTCTAACACACACGTGAGTTTAGGAAACCTCCCAGTGCCGTCACCCCTTGTCAGTCCCGTGAAATCTTAACCTCAGCCGCTTCTCCCACAGGCAAAGAAGAAAGTAACAGAGACGATAGAGGAGGATGAAGATGGTGTGTCTGAGAAGAAATACCGCAAATGTGAAAAGGCAGGCTGTACAGCAGCGTGTCCTGTGTGCTTCGCAAGTGCTTCAGAAAGGTCTGTTCAGCAGGGCGAGGCCTGGCCTTGCATTCCATCCGTGAGCCCATGTTACGCGGGAAAACCATTCATGAGGAGAGTTTTCCTAAAGGTAGAGGTAAATACTGTAAGGCGTCTGGTAACCAAGACACTGCTCAGACATCCGCTGCTCCCCACAGCCCCTGACACACCTCGTTACACCTGTTCTGCAGTGAGAGACCACACCTGTATCAATTCTGCAATACAGCATCCTCCAGCGCAACCAACCTTAGCTGCACCCGTCTGGCGTTGACGGGGACGGGAAGGACTCTCTCGCTCCAGTGGGGACCAGCAACTGTTTACTTTTCACTTTTTACTGTAATTCTTTTCTCCTTCATGTAACATGAGCCTTCTGCCTATATCCATACACAGGTCTCAGAGAAACCGTGTCATTAATTGCAGTCTTGCCATTTTTGTTGGGGTGGGGCAGATGTGACTTTTTTAACTTGGAGAGAAGAATCATCAACACAGGCTTAAGATTCAGTAAACCTAGGAAACAAGTCCTGTTTTTTATGCTCAGAGAGGGGGTGTGGTGATGTTCCAACTGGTGTGATTTTTCGTTCTCTTTTGGTATTACCAGCTATTTGGCAGGTTATGTTGCTAGACTGCCTGCTTGGTGCTCAGAGTGCGGGTGGGGAGACCCATGACTTTCCAGTCCTGGGCCAGTGTTATGCCTAGAATCTTCTGTCCTTTACACTTGCAGACTTGGGGCAAATGCAGTGACGTTGTTTCATGTCTCGAAACACCATCAAAGCCTCAGTGGCAAGACTCCCAAGACCCAGGGAGCCAGCTAGGTTAGGTACCACTGGTCTGCATCTCTGTGTTCAATGTATATTACGTGTAGAGCTCCTCCAATCTGAAATCCAAAATGTTTTGCATGTTAGCATGATGCCACAAGTGGTAACTTCCACACCTGCCCTCATGTGATGGGCCCAGTGAAAGTGCAGGTGCCATAAAAGTTTTGTTTAATGTGACCTTTGGTTATGTATGTAAGGTGTACATGAAACAAATTAAGTTTGTATTTAGACTTCAGTCCCATCCCCCAAATAACCCATTGTATACACGCAGATATTCCAAAATCCAAGGGTCCGAACTCCAGAACACTTCTGATTTCAAGCATTTCAGATGAGAGATCCTCAACCTGAGAGATACAAACCTCATCCCAGTTTGCCCGTTGTGGGCTCATGGCTGTTGGGAGTCTTAGGTGGAGATAATGGAAAATGTGCTCATAGGACACGCTGTTAAATTTTTTGAGTGAAAAGAATGTTTATTCATTACCAAAGCTATGTGTTTTTGCCGTTTTCAGATGTGCCAAAAATGGTTACACATCCCGATGGTATCACCTTTCCTGCGGGGAACATTTCTGCAACGAGTGTTTCGACCATTACTACAGGAGGTTTGTTTGCGAATTGCTGGCGGTGTGCTTGGTGGCAGGGATGGCTGCACAGGAGGGGAGCAGATGGCTAAGGCTTGTTCCTGGGCTTTCTGAATGACTGTGTTATTCCAGCCAAGGCTACGGTTCCCGTACCTCTGAGCAGGACTTTGATACTGTGGTCTGTGGCTATGCATGGCTGTGTGTGCACACACTCGGCGTTGGAGAGATGTCTCTCATGGGACAGTTTACTTTCTGTAATCTGCAAGTCCTGGGAGATCCTGGAGCTGCTATGACAGTGCCTAGGGCTGGGGTGCAGAAATAGGGCACGGGGGTGCTGACAGTCAGGTAGCAGTCCTTTCTTACCAGTTCCGTTTGTTCCCTTTCTTCGCAGTTGTCCTGATTGGTGGCAAAGAAGCTTTATTGATCTTTTCAAAGAATCAGATTTTGGTTTTAGTTTTATTTTCAATTTCATTGTACTCTGATTTTTATTACTTATTTTCTTCTGCTTGTATCAGATTTCTCCTTTAGTTCTTGAAGTTGGAAGTTTAAATTCATTGATTTTTGATTGTCTTTAAATATATTCAGTACTGTAAATTTCCCCCCAAGTACTGATTTAGCTGTACAGTATTCCATAATACTCAGGTCCTTGCGCTTGCAAGGCAAGTGGCGGAATCACCGAGCTAAATCCCTGGCCCAATATTCCATAAATTTTGATAATTTTATTCTCATTCTTTTTGTTCGTAATATTTTTTAATCTCCCTTAAGTCTTTCTCTTTGTCCCAAGATCATTTAAAAGTAAGTTAATTTGTAACTGCCTTTTATGTGTTGCTATTATTTATATTTGAAGTGATTATTTTTATAGTTGGATTAAAATATATCATCTTGCTATTTTCTGTATGGTACAGCTTTTTTTTTCTTTGTCCCCTCTTTTTTTGTCTCCTCTGATTTTAATTGAGCATTTTATGGTTGTATTTATTTCATCTATTGATGTAGTATTTTAATGGCTGCCTGAGGATTTACAGTATGCATTCGAAAATACTCTTAACTCTTCCTTCTAATCATACTCTAACCTTCCCGTTAGTTTCAGGTACCGGGACTGACAAGAGCAACCCTCTGACAGGCTGCTGTATGGAGCTCATAGTAACTTCCCTTCTTGTAACAAGGCTAACGAAATCCTTCATGTAAGACTTACCAGCTTGCTTCGTGTTTTGAAAACTGGATTAACTTACAGCTTGGTACACTTGTTTTTATTGTTTTTAGCCATAAAGATGGATATGACAAATATACTACATGGAAAAAAATTTGGACCAGCAACGGCAAAACAGAACCCAGCCCCAAAGCATTCATGGCCGACCAGCAGCTCCCTTACTGGGTAAGAAAAATGCTGCATTCTTCTGTGATGTATCCGTGAAGCTAACAGAAAGGAGGATGGGGGAAGATATTGGTTTGGGGGAAGTCTTTCTTTTTTACATTTACTGTTCTTTTGATAATTGTTAAAGGAAATAACATTAAAAAAAAGGTTTTTTTAGAAAGCTTAGTTCAACACCATGTAGGAAGGAAGAACACACAGCGCCAGCTGGTGATCGCTGTTGCTGAGTGTGGTAACAGACACTGCTAGACCACACTTTTTTTCTGTTCATATTTTTGTGTTGATTGAAACATAATTTTGTGTTTTATATACAAATCTTTATTAGGTTTAAAAATCATACTTAGAATATAATATTTAATTTTGTTTTTCGATGTAATTTCATATTGCTTTTTCATCTAGGCATTCTTTGAAACTGTATTTTAGTGGTTGCATGTGTCATTTACATACACCACCAATGAAATGAATTGCTAACTTTTTAAATATAAGTAGTTCCTTTTTTTAAATATAACTAATTCTGAGCTGCTTTGCACACTTAAACTTTTTAAATTGAAATAAAATTCACATAACATAAAATTAACCATTTTATCGTATATTTATGTATGTAGCACAAGAGCTATTATTGGGCATACCCTGACACCTAAAATTAACCATTTTAGAATGTACAGTCCAGTGGCATTTACTGTATTCACAGTGCTACTCAGCCACTGCCTGTGTTTAATTCCACAGTATTTTTGTCACCCACAGAGGAATCCGTGTACCCATGCAGGGTCCCTCACCCTCCAGTCCACAGTGACTGCTGATCTACTTTCTGTTTGTGTGGATTTACGTATTGTGGATGTTTCATATAAATAGAATCATGATCCAGGCCTGGTGGCGCATGCCTGTAATCCCAGCACTTGGGAGGCTGAGGCAGGAGGATCACCACGCGTTTGAGGCCATCCTGGGCTACATAGTGGGTTCAAGGCCAGCCTGAACTATGCAGCGAGACCCTGTTTCAAAAAACCCTCAAAAACATAAACCCCAAAATACATGAAGTCATGCTGCCTGGCTTTGTGTCTTTTCTCCACTTAGTGTGATGTGTTTTGTGGTTCATTCACATTGTAGCTTACATCACTATTTCACTGTTTTTTACAGGTAAGTAATATTTCACTGGAATGACAGGCCTCATTTTGTTTATCCATTCATTTTTTTTTTTTTTTTTTTTTGGTACCGGGGATCAAACTCGGGACCTTGCGCTTACAAGGCCGGCAGCAGAATCAATGAGCTAAATCCCCACCCCCATTCATCTTTTGATAGACATTTGAGTTACTTCATTCAACCTTTTAGCTACTGTGAATAGTATTGTTGTGAACATTCATGTATGCATATTTGTTTGAACAACTGTTTATAATCCTTTCAGTTCTATATATGTAGGAATGGAATGGCGGCTCCCATGATAATTGTGTTTAACTTTTGAAGAACCTCCGTACTCTTTTTCTGTAGTCACCGCATCATTTTCTTTCCCATCTGCAGTGTGAGCAGGTTCGGATTGCTCTACTTCCCCCCCAGTTCTTGTTTTGTTTTTTATGCTGGCCGTCAGAGTGGGTGCGAAGTGGCGCCTCCCTTGGGCTTTGGTTTGCATTTCCCTGATAACTGGTAAATGCATCTTTTGCTGTGCCTTTTGGCTTTTGTATATCCTCTTTTTTTTTTCCTTTTTTTTTCTTTATTTATATATTAATTGGTACATTTTAGGTATACAGTACATTTACATTTATCATCGGGTGTTTGTACCTGAACATGGTATATCTTAGTTCTTATTGTTTTCCCCATTACCTATGCGCCCTTCACCCCCTCCACCCTTCCCTATTTACATAGATTTCATTTCCATTTTTTTTTTTTTTTTTTCTCATAGTTTTTGCTTTCCCTTCTTCCCTTTCCCCTTCCCCTCCCCCCACCCCTCCACCTTTGGACCTTTTCCCATTTCAAATTATCAGTTATCCATTTTAATAATTTTTATCCTTATTTACACTTTGAGTTTCTCAAACTAGTGAAACTATTCGGTGTTTACACATGTGTGTCCTATTTATTTCACTTAAAAGAGTATGGCCTCAATATGCATCCATTTAGCTATAAATGACTCTAGTTTCTCATTCTTTGTGGCTGAGTAGTACTCCATTTTATAAAAAAAACCACATCTTCTTTATCCAGTTTCCAGTTGCTGGGCACTTGGGCTGTTTCCAAGCTTTAGCTACTACAGACTGTGCCGCTATAAACATGGGTGCACATATATCGCTGTGGTATGATTCTTTTAATTCTCTGGGGAAGATCCCCAGCAGGGGAGTAGCTGGGTCAAATGGGACCTCTAGCCCTAGTTCTTTGAGGTATCTCCATACTGATTTCCACAGTGGTTGCACCAGCCTGCACGCCCGCCAACAATGGAGAAGGGTTCCTTTCGCCCCACACCCCCACCAGCATTTGTTATTTGTTGATTTCTTGATAGCAGCCATTCTTTCTGGGGTGAGGTGGTGTATATCCTTTTTGGAGAAATGTCTAGTTAGGTCCTTTGCTCATTTGTAGTTTGAGTTGTTTGTCTTTTTGTTGTTGAGTTGTAAGAATTCTCAACACATTCTGGGCACTAACCCCTTATCAGATCTGTGATTTGCAAATATTTTTCCTGCAGGTTGTCTTTTCACTTTGCTAGTGCCCTTTGATGCATGAACATTTTAAATTTTAAGTTAAATTTAGCTGTTTTTTTCCCCTTGTTTGTGCTTTGGGAATAACAACTAAGAATCCTCCGCTGAACCCAAAGTCATAAAAACTTATCCCTGTTTTCCTTCTAAAAGTGTTATCATTTTAGCTTTTACATTTTGAGTTAATTTTTGTACTTGTGTGAAGTTGATGTGACTTCATTCTTCTGCATATGGATATCCACACGCTTTTAAATTTTTGAATAGTGTAACATTTACAGAAAGTTGCAAAGATAGCACAGAGAGGTCATATATTTCCTTTACCCATTGTCCCCTAATTCATTATCACACATACCATGTTTACGTGTCAAACTGAGAAATTAACAGATGGCAGAGTGAGTGATGGAGGCTAGAAATGGTAGCTCAGGATTAGCCAATTTACTGATCTTGGCTATTTCCCTTCTAGGTGCAGTGTACAAAACCCGAGTGTAGGAAATGGAGGCAGCTTACCAAGGAAATCCAGCTTACTCCACAGATAGCAAAGACTTACCGGTGTGGTATGAAACCAAATACTATGAAGGTATGTTGTCTGGCATTCCTTTAGAACTCATCGATATGTTGATTTAGTTGTCAGTATATAGTAACGGTGTCTTTTTTCATTTCAGTGTATTAATCACTGTATCGGTGTTGTGTGGAACAAAACCCCAGCTACAGTGGGTGAACCACTTGATGGTTTACTTTTCTCTTAGAAGAGAGTGAAAAGGTAGAGGGTCAAAGAGGTGTGCCAGCTAGTCTGTCCCTCTTTTATTGCAAAAAGAGGAGCTTTCTTAGAAGTTCAGATTTCTGTTTATATTTCCTTAAGTGGAACAGAATCCTACAGCTACTCTGGACAGGAGGCAGAACAAAGGAAGGAAGTATTTTATAAGTGAGCACGTTGCAATACCTAACAAAAGCAGATCTTGTTAGTAAGGAAGAAGCAATGAACGGATGCATTAGGCAGTTAGGAATTAGCCATAGTGGGTATAATGTGCCACTTTTGAAATTTGGGAATCAGTGTTTAAAAATATGTAATTAAGCTATATGTTAGAGGCATTAATCTATACAAATGTCACTCATTAAAAAAATTAGAAATCAAATCCCAGAAGAGAAGTACTTTCTTTTTTTAAAAATTTAGGAACTGGGGCTGGGGATTCAGCTCAGTGGTTCTGCCGCCTGCCTTGCAAGCTCAAGGTCCCGAGTTCGATCCCTGGTACCAAAAAAAACAAAAACAAATTTAGGAATAATGTACATACCATAAAATTTACCTTTTTAAATTATACGATTCAGTGGTTTGTAGTATATTTACACAGATATATAATCATTACCAGAAAAATACTTAGTTCAGATATTTCCCTTTTATGGAATGGATGAAAGTTTTATAAAGTATATGATCAAATTTTTTTAAAACTTGAGGTTTTAAATAAAGCAACACATAATTATTTAAAAAACATGGAGGCAGGCCCGGGGATTTAGCTTAGTGGTTCCACCACCTGCTGCACAAGCACAGGGACCCGAGTTTGATCCCCAGTACCAAAATAATAAATAAATAAATAATATGTACGCCTGAGGGTACAGCTCAGTGATAGATCCCTTGCCGAGCATGCTTAGGGCCCGGAGTTCAGTCCCCAACACTGGAAAAAAAAAGAAAATTTGCAGAATGAGGGTAAGAGTTTGAACATAAGTAAATTTTATATTGTTACACTAATACGATCTTAAGATTTTAAAAAAGTAAATTGAACATATGTGTGTATAAGTATACAAACATGTACAATATACGATAAAAATTCGAAATTCTTCTTAACCTTTTCTTCCTTGTTTTATTTTTTTGGTGCCAGGGATCAAACTCAGGACCCTGCGCTTGCAAGGCAGGCGGTGGAACCACTGAACCAAATTCCCAGCCCTTTCCTCCTTGTTTTAATAAGGAAATTCTCAATGATTCATTTGTTCTACAAAACTTTTTTTTATTTTCTAGTGCTGGGGACTGAACCCATGGCCTTTCTCATACTAGGAAAGAAGTTTATCACTGAAATACATCCCTGTCCCCTTCTAGAAGTGCATTTAATTACATGTTTGCGGTAGGCACATTTTTAAGGTTGTTGATACAACCAGACCACTTTTAAACATGTTAAGACCTATGATGGAGGGTGATCATTATCAACACCTCACTTGCATTAAATGATAGTATTTTTCATAGATGAAAAATTGCATCGCTTTTTTATTTTTGAGGTGTGGTACTGCAGGTACATGCAGGGATCTTACATGAATTTCCTTGAGTTGTAGGAAATGTCCACAGTGTGTATACAATATTTCCATCCCTGACAAGTACCAATTCTTTCTTCTCCCCCCAGAGGCAACTGCTCTTCTGATTTCTGTCCCTGTAGATCCATTTTTCAGGCTCCTGTACTTCATGAAAGTGGAATCAGCTGATAAATGGTCTTTAATGTTTGATTTCTTTACTGAGTAAAATTGTATTTCAGATTCATCTGTGACATTGTACCTTCCTACACACGTGTGTGCGTGCACACATATGTGACAAATTGTTTAACCATTCTCACGTTAAAGGACATGTGTATTTAGCCATTCTCATCTTACAGGACATTTGTGTTGTTTTACTTTGGTACATGAATGAAACCATAGTACACATTCTGTTCACGTTTTTTGTGGACCTGTGTTTTAATTTTTTAGCAGTAAATATATAGGAGTGGAATTGCTGAGTCATGTAGTAAATGTCTATTTGATGTTTAAGAAACTGCCAGATGGTGTCCTGTGATTGCTGCATCATATTGCAACCTTTGGTCATGGTATGTTTTGTGGCTGTTTTTGTTGTTGGTATAGTGGGTATGTCTGACACCTGTGGTATTAGTTTCCACTTCCCTGATAACTAGTGATATGTTGAGCGTCTTTTCCTGTTTATTGACCATTCATAGTTCCTTTTTGGAAAAAATCTGTCCATTTTAAAAGAATTAACTCTATCTTATTGATATGTAGGAGTTCTTTATACAGATATGAATGTGTATGTGTATTTTGAATGTTTTCTCAGTCTATATATATAATATATATATTATATATATAGCTTTTCCATTTTCTTAGTTGGTCTTTTGATGAGGAAGAAGTTTTAATTTTTTTTCTGGTACCGGGGATCAAACTCAGGACCTTGTGCTTGCAAGGCAGGTGTGGTGCCACTGAGCTAAATCCTCATCCCAAGAATTTTTAGTTTTGAAAGCCAAATTATCCAGTGTTTCATTTATGTTTACAACCTTTTCTTAGAAGCCATTGACTACTTTTCACCTTGCAAATAATATTGTGTGTTTTCTTTGAGACATGGTATAGTTTTAGCCATTATATTTAGGTCAGTAATCATATCTTAAGTTAATTTTTGGCTTTTGATGTGAAGGATAGGAAAAATCTCAATTTTTTTTTCCATGTAGACATTTATTTTTTCAATTTTGTCTGTTGAAAAGATTATTTTTTTCCTCTTAACTAATCTTTTACTATTATAAAAAAATCAGTTGACTATATATATATATATACACATATATATGTATGTATATATATACATATATATGTCTGTTTCTGGACTTTATTACACTGACCTCTTTCTTTAGCCTTACCCGAGCCTATGTTGTCCTGCTGTTGTATTATTATTTAATCCTAAAATCAGGTAGTATAAGTTCTTCCAGTGCTGTTTTTCTTTTCAAATTTGTTTTAACTATTCTGTGTTTCCATATCCATTTTATTATCAACTTGCCAGGATCTACTTAAAAACTTCTGGGATGTTGGTTGGAAGGTATTGAGTTTATAGATCATTTGCAGAAGACTTGACATCTTTGTATTTTTTAGTCTTCTAACCTGGTGTCACCAAATGACATCTGAAGGGCCAAATCTGGCCCTGTTCCTGTTTTTGTAAATAAAGTTGTATTGGAACACAGCTGTGCTCATTATGCAGTGTCCCTAGCAGCTTTTATGCGACATTGGCAGAGTTGTGACCGAGACCATATGGTACACAGAGTGTGAGATATTTACTTAGCCCTTTTCAGAAAAAGTGTCCCAGGATTCTTTAATATCTTGTAACAGTGTTTTCTAGTTTTCACTGAGGATGTTATTTTTGTATTTTATTGTATTTTTTCTGTAATTGTAAGTAGAATTTTATTTAACATCAAGTTGTTTGTTGCAGTTATAGAGAAATACACTTAACTTCTCTACTGACCTTATATCCAGGGGCTATTTTGACTTCACTTATTAAATTTCACAGATCTTGTAGTTAGTTTCCTTTGGGTTGTCTGCAAACCAGACATATCAACTATGAGTAAAGACTATCTTTTTTTCCCCTTGGTCTTTTTTATTTCTTTTTTTCCCTTACTGCCTTGGGCAGGACCACTGACCATATGGTGAAGGCAGATGTTGTCTTGCTGCTGACCTTGAGAACTTGTTCAGTCCTGTGCTTATTATGTGTAATGTTGCCTGTAGGTTCTCATAGATGACCTTTCTCTGGTTGTGGAACTTTCTTTGTTTTCCTACTCTGCTGAAAACTTTTATCAGGAATGCTTTTATCGTGAATGCTTATTGAATTTTATCAAATGTTTTCCTCCTCTTTTACAATAGTCATGAGGTTTTATTCTTTTAATCTTTTAATGTGCTGGGTTACACTGATTCTGGAAACATTGCACTCCCAGAAAAATATCCCACTTTTTCCCATTGTGCTGTCTTTTTACACACACTGCTGGATTTTATGACATTTTGTTATGCTTTCTTGCATCTATGTTCATGATGGATATTACCTGGCATTTTCTTAAAGTATTGTCAGATTCTGGTATCAAACCTGTGCTGGCTTCATAAAAATGAATGGGGAAATGTATTCTCCTTTCTATTTTGTCGGGTAATTTGTTATATAAAGTTGATGTTAGTTCTTCTTTTAGTGTTTTGTTTTGTTTTGTTTTTTTACTTTACTAGTCAAGCATTTTGGGCCAGTAGATTTCTTTATAAGAAGTTTAGAAATTCCAGATTCAGTTTCTTTAACAGACTTAACGGTGGTTTAGGTAGTTTGAGTTCTGTCCATTTTGGAAGGTTTTTCTAGGAGCTTATGATTTTCATCTGCATTGTCAAATTTATTGAAGTTATTTGTACTATTCCCTTGCTCTCCTTTCAATGCCGGTGGACTTTGTAGTGGTATACTTGTATCTCTTTGTTTTTTGGGGTTTGTTTGGTTTTTTTTTTGGTACCAGGGATTGAATTGTATCTCTTCTTTTATTTCTTTTTGTTTTGAGTACTGAGGATTAAACCCAGGGCGAGCAGTACCCTTAACTTCCCTTTTCAATTTGTTTACTTTCACGGTACTTGGGATCAAACCCATCAATGTTCTGCCTCTGAGCTGTGTCCCAGTCCCTTTTATTTTTTTATTTTGAGACAAAGTCTAAGTTGCCCAGATGGCACTTGAACTTGGAATTCTCCCAAAGGGCTGGGATTCCAGGTGTGTATCACCATCCCCCGTGGCCCTCTTTGATTCTTGATGTTGGTAATTTGGCAGTGAAGGATAGAAAGCTC